GCGAGTGCAATTTGCCTCAACTCAAGTTCTGGTTTTAATTCTGAAAGTTCGGCACTTTTCAATCAATTTTGTCACTTGGAGAAACAAATAAAGCGCGATGTGGAAATGACGTTAGATTAACGGAGGAAATGACAAGAGTTGTCAAGTGAGTGAGATGAATACTGAATAAAACGCAAATATTGCCCTGAAATAAAATGAGTCCGATGGAATCAAACATTTTATATCAACTGCTTGTTCTGTGACGTTTGTTCACAGCTCGAATCTTCGCATTCTTGAAAATCGCGGGGAGTGCACGACAAAAATCCTAATCGACTTTATTATTGAATCGTCTCTGGTTACAGACTGAAACAATCACGCAACCAGCACAACTGTTAGAGAAGATCAGATTTCTGAGGCCGTAAAACGCGCGCGTTGGCGCTCGATATAAACAAAACACAACGTGTTCCACTCTCTGCGAGTAGTTTGTCAGCCGAAAACGACAGAAGAACCAAACCTTGACCTTCTTTCGATATCACTTGGTCGCACATTCCACCTCGAGAGAGTAGCCACCCCAAGGGACTCAAATGAGGCTGTGTAGAGGAACATTTTTCCTCCTGCTCGTCATACAAGGGCCAGTAGCTCTTCAGAGTCAACAGACAGGTAGGTAAAAGTACTTCATCCACAATAATCTAGTTACTAGTTTTGAACGAAACAAAACTGAGATTTTTTAAAGGATAAAATATCATCGATAGGCCCTAAATCACAGACCATGCCGACCAATTTCCGATAGCTAAATAACGTGATTCAAATATTATTTAATAAACGTTTCAATGAGGTGGCAGCGTGGTGAATTATAAAATGAATAAAGCCGTCGCGATTGCAGACCGGATATTAGCCATTGATAGGTTTTCTCAGGTTGTCTTCAGCTGGCTTGCACGAAACCTCACCTCGTTTCGACATATTTTAGCTCGTTGAATTGAATGGCGTATTGAATTACTGCGACACTTTTTTTTAACAGTTTCTCCAAGGTTCGAAAGCGGGACCTATTTTACCTATATCAGAATGTATGGTAAAAGCACTGAACGAGAAAAATGTGTCGCCTGACAAAGAGTTAGTAAGATAAACTGCACGTGCCAAGAAGCTTTCAAAACAGAATTTATGCACGCTGATAAACCTGGATAAACAAACGACTGTGTGACTTGAAGTCACGTCCAGTTCATTTTCGCAGATTTTTGTTACTTGTCACAGTTAAATATATATCGTCGGTTTTTTTTTATTCACTATCATTTGATTGAAATCGCACTTTTAAAAAACGTTTTTGAGGAATTAAATCAGGTGTATTGCACATAGAAGAAGCTATAAAATAAAGATGTGTTATAAAATCAGGTGACGCCATTTACGAGTTTTAGCATGTTTTGAAAGCTGCAATTTACACTGTGTATAAACAGCGATTCCTCGTTAATTGCATTCTCTGCCACTTAGAGCCAGAACATGTCACATATGTTTGTCGAATTATAAACATCTCGATTAGGGAAAGGTGCATTTGCTAGACAAGATAATGGAATAAATTTTCACCAAAAGCGACGCGTTAGTTAATCAACAGCTTAAATTTCATTCCTGCTTCGAACTAAGGCCCACACGTATCCGGATATTTTTGAATCCGCAACTTTTTCTTCCCGGATACGGCTTCCGACCACACGCATCCGGCGTTTTCGGCAGCGAATCCGGATATTTTTGCTACGTGTGGACGAGGAAATTTTTGAATCCGGAAAGAGAAAGTTGCGGATTCAAAAATATCCGGATACGTGTGGATGGGGCCTAACTTGCGATCACTTTTTTTTTTTTTTGAAAGGAAGGGTATGATCGCAGTATACTTTCTACTGCGCTTCAATGAAAACAAATGCAGTTTTTCTCACATTTTGGTCAAATCAGCTGGTAGAAAACTTACTTGTCGTCCATGATATTTGTAACTTGTATTGTCCTCACCTCACCCCTCCCCCCTCCCCACCTCATGATATTTGATTGTAAGTTGGGAGGAGTGGTTGAAGCTGTACACTGAATTGAGAAGTGTGGAGATACTTTCCCAGGGGGCTGGGGACGATTAGAATATAATAACCTTTGAGGGACTTGATATTTTATTTTGAACAGAAACCTGAACATGTCAATTAAATTGGCCTTCTTATTTATACTTAGATATATACATTCATTTATTATTATTATTATTATTATTATTATTTAATAATCAATAACAACTTTATTCGATTATGATGATGATGCTGCTGATGATGATGATTATTATTATTATCATTAGTAGTAGTAGTAGTAGTATTTATTTATTTATTTTCTAATGCTATCTGTAAAATTCAGACTGAAAACACAATTTTTTTTCTCTCTGTCTATAGAAACAAACCAAAAAGGAAGCCTGTACTGCTATACATGTTATGTTACAACGTCTTGGGAAGACTGTGACAGGAACAGAACAATTGAGCTGTGTCCTGAAGAAGATAATGAAGTGTGTGTTACAATGAAAGTGGATAAGTGGGATGACAATAACAAACCCATGACTGAGTATGTAAAACACTGTGGTGTCGCAAGCTACTGCTCAGATAAAGAGTGTGAAGAATCCGGATTGAAATGCACTATTCATTGCTGTAATCAAGACCTTTGCAACACAAGTTTTACCATCTCGGCAGACATCATACTTGTTATAGTGATCTCATGCCTGCAGACAGTGCTTTATTAGTTATTACATTTTCACAGAATGATCGCTAACACTTAAACTCACATGGAAAGACTGTTTAACAGGATCATTTTGCACCTGGTTATAAGCCTGCTGCAGAATTGTTAACTTACTATAATTTAAGCCCTGACAAAGGATGTTAAAGATATTTTCATTTCTTTCTGTCATAGCCATTAATTACCTCTAAGTTTGAGTATGACATAATAGCTGATTTGTCATAGTGTACTTTTTCTCATGGTGTAGATCAGTATCTTTCCTGCAGTCTACAAATGTTTCTTTTGATATTGCAAATTGTCAACTTCTTCAATGGGTAGAAGGGCTTACTTTTTAGAGGAAATTTGTTGAGTTGCCAGATCTAGAACCTCTTGGAAAGTCAAAGTACTTGGTTTGTGAAGTGAGTCAAATACCAACTTCTGAACTTCTTCAAGATTATTAAAAATAACACTAAGGGGAATTTACGTTCCCGTCTTGGGACTAAATATATGTACGCCAACCACTGTCGGGGGCATTTGATTTTGAGCAGGTGATGTTCTGAACATCACTGTTTGAATTCACAGGACGGGTCTGCTTTGTACATAGGCCTTTAGTATAAACATTTAAAGAGAATAGGCAAGAGAAAAACATGAGTGACTGTTATGAGTGCAACACTCATGCAAACTCTTGGTTACATGTATGAATGCAAAATGTGAGAGTCATGTAAGCAGATATGAGGCTTGGACAGGATTATGTAAATGTATGTGACTATAGGGGATCTCAGGGCAGAAAAGTACGACAGTTAACAGTTTAACCGCTATGTTTCCATGAATGACAATGATTGAATGTAACTTGAATGTTGATTGTCCAAATGTATCCGGTTCCCATTCAGGCCGAAAACCATGCCTCAAACTTGACTTTGTACAGTTCAGAATGTACAGTATATGATCTCATGGTCATATTTCAACTGCTTAACATCACAACATGTAATTTAAAAAATATATTTATTACAATAAACCTTTGGGAATATTATTTTGATTTGGTACAAGGTTATAAGGGATTAAAATAATTTTAGATTTCTACGGCTTAATCATTCATCTGATGAATTAGCCTTTTAGACAAAGTAGAACATGTACGTTTTAACAACTGTTCAGACATGGTTGATTGCTTCAGTGGAATCGTACCAAGTTTTACAGCTGTTAACTTAACTACATGTAAGCGTACAGTGAATGATATGTTCTTTTTTTATAATCTTATCAAGAAATAAGATGTACTTATTGCTTAAGTTATTATGCTAAGCCTTGTCATTGTCAAGCAAGCAAGTGAAGCATGCCATTGTAAACTGATCAGACTTATTTAAATCACATCTTTGTGATTAAATAAACTAAACGTGGGAAAAGGTCTCAGTTGTACACTTGTACCCTTTTCATTTTATACTGATTTCTTTTAATGCTAATTTACTGTACACAGGCAATATTGCAAACAACTTGTTTGGCCAGTTTTTCAGCCACTGTGACATGAAATCCAGCGCCAAAACATTTAATTCGCGTAGCATTTTTTAAGACCATACAGGGCTACCTAAAGAGAGATGCTCATTTCAGGTGTGCTACAGTTTGCAATTTTCATGCACATTGCACAATGATGTAGTGCACAATATTGTACTGAACACTATAATATTTTCATTTTAATCGATCCAGTCCATTCTTGTTACCATACCACCCTTAACCCTACCCTCTATGAATTTCAAAGTTATTTTGTGGACGATTTGCTCTCTCAAGACAGATCTATATTAAATTTCTCCTAATCATGACCGTTCATTGTCAAGTGGACAAAGGATGAGAATACGAAAAATTAGAATATAGCTGCAGTATACCTACTATCATTGGAACCAAGCATGCGTATTTTGTTATAGATACATGACTGGAAATAACAGAGTACGTATGTCCCAGATTGTACGGTTGCCAGCGCAGTTACCACCCCACATGTTTTTGCTTTTTTCATACTATAGTCTAAACCAAATAGAAGATGGTGTTCCTATGTTTTCTAAAAAAGTAATGCACCTTGGAGGTCTAGAAAAAATGTTGAATGCACTTGCATTCCACTTGTGTGTCCTGTTGTAGATTTTTTTCTAAACCTCGAGCATACATTTTCTTGTGAACCTAGAACACCATCTTCTCTCTGGTAAAATAATCAACTATGGCAAAATAAGTAGATTCCTGGCAACAGCTCTTACCTTACCTTGACTTAAACATAATTTCTATAAGCTAAACAATTTTTTGTTAATACAAAATCAAGATCCTGTACTCACACAATCCTCCAAAGCCTAAACAGATGTCCCCTTATGTATGACAATAGGCATGGATGTTCATCCACCAGTGCCAAGTACTGATCTGTCATTTCCCACACAGGGGGATGTTCACCACTGAAAAGGGCTGGGTTGCTCAGATTTCCCTCTACAAAAATTACAGTGAAACCTGTATTAAGCAGACCCCATATTAAACGGACAACCTCTGTTACATGTAAGTGGACACCAGCTCAGTCCCTAAATTTTCCTCCCATATTTACTGTAAAATAAACCTGCATTCAGCAGTCACCTCCCTCAAGCAGATGCGGACACCAATATTAAGCCATTTTGTTGCACACAACCTGCAATAAGCAGACACTAAAAGGGCTCTCTATTTCTAAAAGCTCAGCTCAGACTCCTCTAACATTGTTAGGCGATGTCATTTTAAAGCTAAGTAGATCATTCAAGATTGATGCACTGACTAACTGGACATTGTGCTATGAGCAGTCTTTGATCTTACACTGTGTTACACTGTGTTACAAAAGGGTTAATGATTAACTATTACTGCTGAACCTGTTTAGAGCGGACACCCTGTATTAAGTGGACACTAATGAGTGTCTCAAGGGTGTCCGCTTAAGACATGTTTCACTGTTAGAGTAATTCAAAATATCAATAATCAACCTTTTTGAAAAAACCCTGAAACTATGCATTCAAGCAATATAATTATTATATTTTGTTATATCTCTCAGTTAGTACACGTGCTGTGATTGGTCAATTTAGTGGGCCCTACTCTCCTGTACGACCCACTAAAATAAAAAAATTTGGTTTTGTTGCCAAACTGTTTCGTGATTTATCAATAAGTGTTCTTAACTTTTATAGCAAGTGAAAGTTTAAAACTTTCTTATACTCTAAATTATGTAATAAAACGTGCTAACAACTTAAAAACAGTTTCAAACTGACTTGTTTTGCTTTTGAGGTGCGTCAGAAATTTGAAGCCTTTCCGAGTCCGCATGAATAGAAATCGTTTCCGAGCCCGTCAGTCACACAGTAGAGATATAATAAATACCTTACTAATATCGTCTTCTCGGTCCGTACTGTAAGTTACGGATCCTCGTTTTTTCCCCTTCGATTTATGGCCCAAGCGCGAAGCACGCGGGCAATAAATCGAAGGCGAAAAAACTCGGTCCATAACTTACAGTATGGACCTTGAACTCGGTTAGTAAGAGGTATATGTGGTGTGAAATCACTACAAACTACAAACCTGCTGACATTACTCCATCTACTCCTGTATAGACCATACATCTCTCCACATCCCGCAAGTATTGAATATTTCCATTAGCAAAGACAGGGATTGACACATTTTCCCTATTAAATAGAAAAGGAACTCAGAAATGCTCTAGAGATATATAACTTTGAGAATTAGTTAAGTTAAGTTAAGAATTAAGCGTTAATCTTATCATGTTAAATTATAATTTCTTCAGTATTGCCAGTGCTCATAATCAGTAATTTTGTTTGAAATGATGAAGGATCAGTGATGGACAATAATTTCAAAAAACTGACCAGATGTGACAATGATATCATACAACTTTAGAACTGTCAGTGAGTAAACATTTAATAAAAAACTTCTACTTACTTTACTGTTTTGATTACATCCCAGTTTGCTAAGCCAGTGTTCAGACCCTTTTGTTCCCTTGTGCGTCCATGAATAGTCAGTAGCTAGTCACAAAGAAAATAAAATATTATCTTCAAGTATTTTTAATTAGTTATTTAATATTTTTAATTCAACACTAGGTTATGAGTGCTCAAAATCCCCATGCAACTGGACTTGTAACCTAAGGTAAACAACTGTATCGCTAAAATGGAGGATGGGTGCCTGAGACATCCAGGAGCTTCCACTATTGGCAGCCAGCTGCTAGATGAAGACTGCTCCCATGGCTGGCAAATCCTGGCAACCCAGCCATGAGCCCCCACACAGTAAGAGGAACAGGCACCTGTCACACAGTTGAAATAGTGGAAAGAGGGAGGGAAAGTGATGGGAGGGGAACTGCCTGGGTGATGAGCTGCCACACTACAAAAACGCCAGAAAATGCCTCCTACAATCCACGCTACAATCCATGCTACAATCCACGAGCATGTGGAATTCCGACACGTGCGCATATGTGTCGACACCGCTGACTACCAGAGGAACACAAGCACTCTTTGTTGTTAACTCCGTTAAATTGTACTTAACAGCATTAAATCACATATGGGTTGCGCAAGTATACATATCAACTAATTTATTCAGTTTCGGCAACATTATTAACACCAGAAGGTAAGGTCTGTGTCAGGCCAAATACACTGTAATCCAAGCTGCCTGAGCCTGTTCCAGTTTCCGTAGCATTGACCAATTAGGAGCATTTCTACTCCCCCCTGGATTGGATGCTTGTCCATCACAGGGCTACCCTCCAGCATTAAATTTGCCATTGCACCCATTTATGTACATCTGGGTGGAGAGAGGCACTGTGACAGTAATGTGTCTCGCCCAAGAACACAACACAAAGACCCCCAACAGGGCTCAAACCTTGGCCACTCGAACCAGAGTTTGGCATGCAAACCATTTGTCATATGCACCTCCCTCAATCAATCAACACTGTGACTTGCAGATATACTCCATCACAAGTTACATACAGCTTCACAAAATGGGCATGTGCTCTTAAGTGTTCACAATAATAATGTTCATGCAAATGGACCTTTCTTTTTCTCTTAATTATAAAAAGAGTAAAGATATGCTCATAACTGACTCAAATGTCTTTAATAAACTAATTTAATAAACTGTTTGTTATTTTGTTAATGTTATGGCATGCAATAACGACATAAGACCATTTTGTGGGCAATCATGGACAGGGAATGTACTGGCGAGGCTCGGATATAACCTACCAACCAAATCAACCCGCCAGATGAGGGACCTCGGCATTTGGTGCCATGACCAGAGGGTGCTCCATGCCTGTACAGTAATGTGGATGTTGTTGTTGGAATAATGCTCTGGGGCCATGTTAACCCAGTCCGAGTAACAAATGCCCCCTCCCTGGCAGGGCTTCAGCACAGGGGAGGTACCCCTGATCAAAAGCAGCAATTCCCCACCCACAAATGTTGAGTATGGTGAGAAAGTACCCTGTGTGGAGCCCATAAACTGAGTTAAACCAGATCCCCCAAGCCGAAGTCGCCAGAGGAGGTGCAAGGATTGGGCACAGACATTCCTTCACCCCAAGGGTTAAGTGACAATGAGACAAGCCAGCTGTGGAGAGGCAGTATAAAAAAGAGCAAAGCAATGCACATTACTGACTCAAGCATCTTTAAATTAAAATAAACTGTTTGTTATTTTGTATATTTACCTGACAGCCTGCTTTCTCTAACATTTTTGCATATTTCACAGTTTTTTCCAGATCATCAAACACACGGATTTTACAGCTTATTGGAATGGACAGTTTCTCATTGAGTAAGCTAACTGGAAACAATAAAAAGTAAAAAAAAATAATAGACAAGAAATGACTAGGCTAGTTAAAAGTTTTCTTAAATATAACTCTGACCTGATGCCCAAGACTTTTGTTCAAAAAAGACTGATCAACAAATCGGCAATATAACCGTAAGAACATGCATGGAAATTTAAAGACTTTTGCTGGCTGCTGGCTGTAATCTACAGATATAAATCTTTGTAACCTAGCAAATATCTCTAAACTTAATATTAATAATAATGTTAGAACTAATGTCAACTTAAGCTCGCAAAAATTCAAAATTTAAATTTAGCTCTACAAATTACTAACAGTAACCCTAACTTACCCATGGAAGCTATTAATTCCCACTCATCTTGTAAAAATGCCCCATAGTGACCTAAAGGATTAAAAGCAGAAGTGAGGCTGTTTTGTATGGTTAGCTCAATTCAAGATATCCTTTAAAATACCTGACATGACCATGTTGTTTAATCATGTGTTGGTTTAATAACATGACAGCCTTATGTACCCACTCAACTAGACAGTGTGATAAAAGGAGATGATAATGATGATGATATTACCAACACTAATAACAAAACAAGTAATCTTCCAAGATTGATCTTATTACATGTATACACCATTGTGTTGCTGATAAGTTTGGTAGAAATACAAGACAGGTGATACCCTGGATAACAGGGACAAATCAGAATTTTTTTTTTATTAGCATTGGTATCACCGGCTGATGCAAAATTCAAAATTCAAAAGTACAGTCACCGTTTTTTGGGCTGTTCCCTCTTGAATGTTTATTTAAAAATAACTCTACAAGGGCAGTTGCCAATCTTACATGTACATGTAACTTGCTTTAATTTATTCATGTATTGAAAAAGTACACCCTAGAGATGTGCCCTTGTACCCTCAAGAATTTTTTATCAACAAATTGAAATAAACTAGGAACCTGGGAACAAGTGTACTAAAGGCATACACGGTCAACTGTTAATCGATACTGTCAATCACACTCTTAATCAACCCTTGATCAACCCCCGATCAACACTCCATCGACACCTCAGTTGACACTTGCTTGACATCTTGGTCAACAGTCGGTCAAGAGTCAACTAACTTTCTATCAATCTATATAAGTCAATCGACAATCAGCCGTCTATTGATCAACTTTTGATTGACAGTCGACCGAGTATCAGTCGGGATTATTGAGTGTCAATAATTGATATGAGTCAATTGTGGGTCGATCGAGGGTATCGATCAACACCCGATCGCAGATGCCTTTAGTACAAATGATCTGGAACCTGGAGCTTTGAACAAGGCTAAAAGCTGTGTAGCATCAAATCTAGCTTATAAGCATATACTTAGATGTAGACTACCTCTTCTTGCTATTATCTGTGGACATCCAAGGTTCAAATCAATTCCATCACAGTATGGTTCCACTAACTGAGCAGCTTTGAGAAAAATTTCTGGATCATTTGCACAAAACTAAGAACAAAACAATACAATAATAACAATAATAATAATAATATAATGATAATAATAATAATAATAATAATAATTAGCAATTATTGTTCTTAAAGCTGGCACAGTTCTATAACAAACTGTCAACTGCACTATTACCAAATTATCCTATCTGACAACTGGAAGCGATGGACCATGCTGCAGGAGTTGGAAAAAGTGAGCTACTCCTGGGAGAGAGCCAAAGTATTGGCAAAGAGACATGTGCATTAGAGCTAGCGTACTAGTTGATGCCCTAAACTCCTCCCGGGGTGATAAAGGATTAAAATGATAATGACATCTGGATAAAATATTCCTACTATCTCTGTCATCTATGTAAGCTTGAAGAAGACTAATTTAAACACTGAAAATCCAAAGTAGGATTCTGATAAATGTACAATAGAGAGCTCTGGATATAGCAGTCAGCCCTCAGCTAACTAAATGTATGTCCGATTTAATTCACAAAATGCCAGGTATACCTGGAAATGAGCTCAGATACATATGTAGTAAGTATACAGCTAGCTCCATGAGCAGGTAAGATGAACCAAATCCTACGCCGTGATTGGCTACCCGAGTAGGCAAGATGGCACTAACTTGCCAGCTTGGGACTACCCGATGTGCCCCACAACAAAAAATTTCCCAAAAGCCATACAATAATTAAAATCCTTTACTGACCAAGCTTGTTCAGTCAAGATGACTGGATATCCCCCTCATTCTTTTTTTGAGAGTTTATTGACCTCGACTCCATCTCGGTCCATGCCAAAAAAAGAACTTGGCCAATATCCAGCAATCCTGATCTCATGCTTGGTCAATGACCCAGATATATTGTTCCATGCACTGCAGCTGCAACCTGCATTGCTCTGGCTAAAGATGAATGTAATCTCTGGCCTACAGGGTCTAACAGTATCTGTTTTTATGTCTGAGTAGCGAAGTAAAAGTTTGGAAAACCCTCAATTGGTTATGATTTGAGAAGAAAAATATTGAAACCCTGTATTGAAATAGAATGAATGCAGAATGGGAAAGTGTTGCATAGCAACTAATGAATAAATGCGACATGTACCTTACATCAGCCTAGAACTGGATTGTGTTTAGTACAACGATACACTACAAAGTAATGATGCTACAGAACACAATATCTGATTAGTTCCCCGAGACTTTCCACAGCAGGCATACATCAATGTAAGCTTAAAAGTTTGAATTAAAGTCGCCACATGTTTCACCTGTGAGTACAGCTGATTCAAACAATTCAAAGAGAGAATGGAAATATAAGCTTAACTGCCAGTTTCATTTCATTTTTGGAAGACGTGTACGAGCAAGGCTGGATTATAAAGTCAAATGAAGTAAGTAAAAGGAACTGTACCTGTACAATCAATGGTCTATCTTCTTTACAAGTCTGAAAAGATTCCTTCCTGTAAAACAAATCCTTCACAAACAGGCCGGCGTGAATCATTGGCGTGTAGCACAACTGTGCGCCATATTTCCGGCTCAAAAGTCGCCAGGGTAGTTCAGATTGATCCACCATAGGAGCCACAATGTATTTTGGAGACTTGAGAACGTGTTCCCAATACTCGTAGCTTTTATATTTTGGAGCCATTTTTGCTTCCTCTTCCTTGAGGTTGCATCACTTAGAAAGAATACCGCTGGTTACTAACCTAGGCAAACAAACTCGGCCCAGGCTCTCTTCCGACAGGCTGTCTGCCTTTCACCAACGAGGCGAGCACATGGTAGGATGGGAATACGGATCGGAAGAGCAATCCCCGGAGGGAGAGGGGGGGGGGCACTGCCATATATGGGCTATATAGGTATGTGCCGCTGTGAAGGGTAGGGTTTTCAAGCAGTTTACTCTAGGATGTTACCTGTTACCTATCTTCTTCGTGCCGTGTGGCACATAAGGCCTCAACACAATCCCGCCAACCAGCTCTGTCAGCCGCTGCGATTTGTACCTCACTCCAGTTCTTCCATGCAGCTTTTTCCCTTTCTCTCTCTGCTGTCTTCCTCCATGTTGTCTTTGGTCTACCCCGTTCTTGCCGCCCTTCTGGGGTCCAGGTTAATGCAGTTCTGCAGCCATTATTTGGATCTTTCCTCATGATGTGACCGATGAATTTCCATCTTCTCTTTCGCTCGCCCTCACTGAGGTTTTTCATCTCAGCCATCTTCAGGACTTCTTTGTTTGTAATTCTTTCTTACCAGCGTATCTTAAATATCCGTCTAAGACATCTGCTTTGGAAGACGTCGATTTTATTCTCATCACTTTTATTCATTTTCCACGTCTCGCAGCCATACATCAAGACTGGCTTTACCAGTGTCTTATATAGCCTGACTTTGGTTCGTCGACTGATGCTGTTGCTACTCCAGATCTTTTTCAATTTCAAGAATACCCCCCTCGCTTTGACTACTCTGTTGTGGATGTCTTCAGTGCCTCCGCCCTCTTTGGAAACCGTAGCTCCCAAGTACACAAATCTATCAACATCTTCTATTCCTCGTCCATTCACCTCCACCACATCGTTGTTCCTCGAATTTATTTGCAGTAGTTTACATTTATCTACATTGACTTTCAGTCCCACCCTTTCTGCTTCATGCGCCAACTTATCGGTCTTAGTCTGAATGTGCTGCCTGGTTGATGATAAAAGGGCTATATCATCTGCAAAGTCGAGATCCTCGAGTTTTGTGGTGAACTTCCATCTTATCCTGGTGTTCCCCTCTTGCAATGTATTTCTCATTACCCAGTCAACGACTAGTAGGAATAGTAAACCTGACATGTTACAGCCTTGTTTCACTCCGGTTTTGATCTTGAACCACTCTGTTGTGTCGTGTCCATCCACTACTGCGCATTCAAAGTCAGCATAGAGCGCTTTCACCATGTTGATTATCTTGGATGGTATACCGTAGCTTCTCGTAATCAACCATAGACTATCCCTGTGGACTGAATCGAATGCTTTCTCGAAATCTATGAAGTTAACGTACAGTGACGACTGCCACTCTATTGACTGTTCGATGATATTTCTCAATATGAAAATTTGCTCAGTAGTTCCTCTACCTGGTCGAAAACCTGCTTGTTCCTTTCTGAGTTTCGACTCTGCTCCGGTTCGTATCCTATCAATCACAATTCTTCCCATGACTTTACTGACAACTGACAGCAGCGTAATTCCACGCCAGTTTTTACATTCCTTCAGATTACCTTTTTTCGGTAGTTTGACAATCAGTCCTTTTCTCCATTTTCTTGGTGTCTTCTCGTCTCTCCACACTATGTCTATGATCTCCTTGACTTTAGTGGTAGCATAGTCAACATCAGCTTTGAGCAGCTCTGCTTGTATGTTGTCAATTCCCGGCGCTTTTCCATTCTTCAGATGCCCTATTGCCTTCCTTACCTCACCTCTACTGGGTTCAGATGTATCAATTTCTTCTATTTCATCCGGCAGTTCTATCTCCATTTCACTTACTGGATTACTAGGGTTCTCTCTATTTAGTACTTCAGAGAAGTGCTCCAACCATCGTTTGGTTTTACTTTCTTTATCATTAAGGATCTTGCCGTTTTTGTCCATTACTGCGGCACTCTGCCTTGGCCTTTCGTTGCTTAATACTTTGGTCAGGGTATAAAGTGTTTTCATATGTTGTTGTTTGGCCGTATTTTCAGCTTCTTCTGCAATCTCTTCAGTCCATCTTCTTTTATCCACCCTAACCTGTCTTTTAATTTCCCTATCCTTCTGTCGGTATTCATCTTGCCATCTCTGCTTTAGTCTCGCTGATCTTGCACTGATTAACTTCTGTTTGATGACTTTCCTTTGGTCTATCAGAGCCCAGGTTTCCTGACTCAACCATGGCTTGTTTTTCTTTTTCTTGTACCCTAGTACCTCTTCTGCCGTTTTTACATAAGCTTTCTCCAATATCTCACTTTTCCTTTCCACTTGGTCTCCTTCTTCTTCTCTTCCATCATTCATTGGCTCTTCCACTGCTAGTGCCTGGAATCTGTTTTTCAGCTGTATGTTGAACCTTCTGTGTATGTCATTGTTTTGGAGTTTGTGTGTGTCAAACTTTTTTGGGGTACTCTTTGTCGCCGGTGCTCTTTTGAGCTTTAATCTGATGGTTGATCGTACAAGGTAATGGTCGCTGGCCACATCTGCTGACCTCATGGCCCTGGTATCTAACACTGATGTTCTAAATTTTCTGTTAACTAGAGTGTCATCTATCTGATTTTTTGTTCTGCCATCGGGCGACACCCAGGTTTGCTTGTGAATTTCCTTGTGAGGAAATATTGTTCCAGTGATAACCATTTCATTAAAATCGCAGAATTCTTTCAGTCTTTCTCCATTATCGTTAACCGTGCCCAGTCCGTGTTGTCCCATTACTCTTCCAAGGCCGTTGACAAGGTTACCCACCTTTGCATTCATGTCTCCAGTGATGATTAACATATCATGTTTGTGTACCTGCTCAGCTACTTCTTGTAGTTTCCCGTAGAAGTCTTCTTTTGTTACCTCGTCAGCATCGTTGGTTGGCGCGTACGTGTGTATCATTGTAAGCTTGACAAACTTGGAGTAGAATCTTGCCTTTGTTGCCTCTGGTGTCATCATTATCGCCACGCCTTGCATGAGTTGATCGTCATCTCGACCTGAGTACAGTACTGTTTCACCTGAACTCAATTTCATTCTACCTGCTCCTATCCATCGGCACTCACTTATTCCCATAATTTGGATCTTCATCTGATTCATCACTCTCGCAACTTGTGTGGACTTTCCTGCAGTAAACATTGTTCTCACATTCCAGTTCCCTATTCTAATCTGAGTCCTTGGGGTCATTAGTGGTTTGTTCAGCTCCTGAGCATCCTCTCGGCTTTGGCTCAAGGGCGTCATACTTTGCCTACCTAAGCAAGGTACCACATTGGCCCCAAGAGAAGGTTGCCTTCGAGTGTTTAAGGTTTCTGTAATCTGCTTTGTTTTAAGGGGGCGGGTGATTGACCCACCGCCCAACCCCCAACCTGGATGGAGGACCAGGGGCTGTTCTTTGTCTGGTCTCTACCCCTCGACCAATCCGGCATGGTTAGACCTGCCAGGGACTTCAGTCCCAGCCGGCACAGCTCTTAGGGTCATTGAGACACCCAAGCCTCACCACCACTACAAGGTGACAGCCCAAGGTGAAGTTACTCTAGGATAGGGTATATAAATCAGAGCGTTTGGGTCTAGAAAAGGGTATAATTTTTCACAAAATTGACTAGTAGGTTGAAGATTTTATCTAGACTAAGGAAACCAGGAATTGCCACTCAAAAATATAAAAAATCAAATCGGCGAGTTTAAATTTACGCAAATCAGCCTCAACAGTGTCGATAGATGGGGGGATTTGGGGAGTTTACTCTAGTATAGGGTAGCAAAATTCAGCCTAATTAGCTCTGGTATAGGCTAAGGGTTCCAGGGTCCCAGTGGCACATCCCCACCCAGAAATTCCCAAAGTACCCCCCCAGGAGCAATCCTTGTGCCTCTGTTTCAAGACGAGTCCTCATGCAAAGCCTTTCTTATCAAAATGATTCAGATTTGCATCAAAAATGAACCTGTAGGTGGAACTCATTTTCATATGAATGGTTTCGCATGTAGACTCGTTTTGACACAAAGGCAAAAGGAAATTCGAAAATGACCTATTCTGCAGGGTATAACTTCAGATAAGTTAAAGATATTATAACAAAAAGATTTCTGGGCTTTCCAACCCAGGTTTTGGCATAAATCAAACTTTTGACTCTGCAAATTTTCTTTGATGTTACTTGCTATAGAGGTTTTCATACGTACATACATACACTTCATTTATGCTCGAAATTTACAGAGTAGCTGTAGAACTAAAATCTTGGAGAACATAAGTTACAAAAAGAAAAAAAATTATAATAATTTTCTGTAACCTGGTTTGACATACACAAGGGTGGACATCGAGTGACGAGAGGGAGGGAGGGAAGACTGTATATTTTATCTAAGCAACTTTTTATCATTCAGTTGCAAGAGAAAAGACCTTGTTTACTCCTTAGAAACACCATTTATTGCTCCATTACAAAGTCCTATATTAGAAATAGTACAAGAATTTTACTGCAAACATTACAACAATCTTCATCTAGTGGAACCCCATTAATCCAACCACTGATGCAAATTAAAATCTGGGCTTGATTACCAGCTGTTGTTTGGGAAAGGAGCCTGCACTTCTCCCCAAAGGAAAAGATGATTAGGGACCAGACCTGACAGAACAACAGAACTCAAGCCTAACTGTCTGCATTAAAAGTCTACTTATGATAAGGAATAAGGACAATACAGGCCAAGAAACAGTTGCCATAAAAACTAGGTGATTAATCAGGGTTACACTGGATTTAAAATGATGCAGAATCAGAATTTCCTTTGGGTTTTGGTTCAAAAAAGGCACGACTAAAACTTCTACATGAAATATTTATTGTGAGAAGGGAAGTCTGTTAGGGTAATCTTGTATTCTTCTGAATCCAAAAACCAGCTGATATTTTAAACAAGGGATGTTCATAACAGTCATACTGGAATGTAACCTATTGACATCAAATTTGTTTCACTTTTAAAAAAGTTTTCATAGACCTCAATGTTTCAACATGGCTAATAGGATTATTCAAGCAATCCTACTTGACAACAAGACATTATCATGCCCCTTTATCACGGATAACTTCAATGTAATTAATCCAAAATGTGCTGCTCCAGAAATATCCACACCCTCCCCATGAACGGAATTGGCTGGAACCCCTAATGCCTTCAGAAATTCTACTGTAGGTCTCACAACTTTGTCTTTGAAATCTTCCTGCCATGATGTAATTTCAGATCATTGTTCTTGCAGTGGGCATGGATATTTTCTGAAACTGCACAATGGACAAACATATCTGCACTACACTTATTCGTGTTAACTAGCAAGTTCTTGTTTCAGAACAGCAAGAAAATGTTTGAATGGAGAGTTTCTTGCTGCAAATAGTGCCTACAAATATACAGTGCAGAAGCATTGACCTCTTAAAAATCCAATCCTTTCTCGGTATGGTACTCTCTTTAAAATCTACAACAGCAATGACTGACCCTGCTAAAAAAATTCTCTTTTGTCTGTTTTGGTACTCAAAGTATACTTCAGTAAGCGACTACAATTAAAAGCCAATGTCATAACACTTGTACAGATACATGTACTATGAAATAAAAATCCCATATCAAACAAAACAGGATTTAAGACAAGACTTAGACTAATGTATTCACTGTTTTCAGAAATGATGGCTTGATCACATAACAGTAGTCAGGAAAGCCTTGACAATGTATCCCAAATTTGTCAATTTAAACAAAGAAGAGGTCTGATTCAAGCAAATCATCATTTTACAAAACCTTTCACAAGGCAAATATTAAATAGCTTAAAGTTAGGTTTCCATGTCTTGTGAAGAAGGTGAATATCAGCTGTCAAGTCATGGAAGATTTTCACTCAGTCTTCCTCCATATCAACATCTCCCTGCAAATAAAACAACAGGAAGATTTTAATCTTACAACTGATAGAATTCCTGTCTTGCTCAACCTATTCTAACATGGTCTCAAAATTCTCTCTAGCCACACAGTTAACACTGTCCACCTCCTTACTCATTCTATTTATGATCCTGACGCCAACCAACTATTTAAAGAATTAGGCTGGGGCAATTTAGAAACTTGATGTCAAAAACTACAGGCTGAGACAGTCTATAAGTCCTTAACTGGCCTTGCACCCAATTATTTGTCCTCGAAATTCATTCAGTGGAGTGATGTGATTACTTCTTACAATTTGCGTGATTCTGATATCCTGATTCTGATTCTCATTCCCTTGCCATGTACTAACCATTTCAAAAATAGCTTTGGCTATAGTGGTGCAGTCCTCTAGAACAGTCTACCCTCAGCTGCTAGGTAAGCAACATCTCTGACTAATTTCCGAGGATTGTTAATTAATTCCGACACAGCATTCATGTCAAACAGGCTTTAATTTAGTTTAATTTTCTTTAATAGTTAGCAATATTTTAAATTATAGAAGATTAATCTATTAAGATTAATTACATAGTCTTTCGTAATAAGTTGTAGCTTTTATATTAAATTGTTAATGCCTGACGTATTTACCGTGTTTTTAAATAAAGATGATGATGATGATGATGATGATGATAAAGTATATTATTTGACAAAATGTTTGTAACTTTCTAATTCCATAATTTTGGAACAGCAATATTTGACAACCCTTTTGGCAATTTGGAGAAATTTTCTAAATATATCTATTATTCCATATCCTATTTTCTTTTCTAGAGTTTCAAAATTTCACAAATACGTTCAAATTTACGACACCGCAAAGGTTTCACAAAATATGATAGAGTCCTAGTCAAGGAAAGGAGAAACATTATTTATCTCACTCACTACCAGAATAGAATTCATGTTGATTATTGGAACTACTTAGTAATAATTCAATATTGGAGAAAATTCAGAGAAAGCTTGCGTACCACTTCATGGTAAGCATCTAATTCAGCATCAAGATCCTCTGCAGTCACATTCGCTCTCTGGGAACCACCACCACCTCTGCCCCCTCGCCCTCTACCACGCCCTCTACCTCTTCCACGGTTACCACCTCTGCTTTGGCCAAACTGCTGACGCCTTCTACAAGAAGAGAAACAAATTGTAACAAAATTAATCTTGTCATAACTTGACTGTTACAAACATGTTTAACAACAAGGATGTCATTGAGGGCTGGCTGTCGGCTGAGGTCACCACTGAACTGAACGTGAACTCAAATCTAGCTGAAATTTCGTAGAAAATCAAAGACTTGGGTGAACTTTGGAATTGCTATGGAGAGAAAAGCCAGCTGGGATTGTTAATGAGCTGGCTTAGTGCCTTCTTAGCTACATCCCTCTTATAACATTATAGAAACGTAACTTCCCTAAAGCAACTGTGATAATGTCAAGTTAACAGGCTCATCTTATTCCTCTCAACATTATATAGAATTCTTGGAAACTTTATCTAGGTTTTCGAAGAGCTATAGTGACATCCTTGCAAATTACATTATCACTACTGACTGGGCAGCAAGAAACTTACATCCAATCTAGCGATGATATTTAATCTTATCACTGACAATTTTATCACTTCCTTATCACTGGGCACTCAGTCGCTCAGTCTTGCACAGCTTTGAAATCCTTTGGAAAAAATATAAAATAAATTTCATCACAATATTACCTTTGACCTTGTTGTTGGAAGCCACCTGATCCAACATTAGATGCACTTGTAACTAATTCAATAATCATCTCCCTTCCTGAAAGACAAACATAGATTCATTAGAATGATGACAGCAGATTACTCAAGGACAATGGTCCATGCTGCTTGATTGTTCCAAATTCAAGCTTTCTGTATGGATTTCTCTGAGTGCAAATTCCAACAACAAAGTGCACCACTAAGATTGTCTCAACTATATCCCTCAGAACATCTCATCATGGCAACTAGCAGATCTTCAACCACATTCACTTTTTTACATTGTTTAGGAATTTAACCTCTTGTTTTTTTGTTTTGTTTTTGTTTTTATCAATGACAGCAAGTAAAGTTCAACACCTTTCCAAGATTGCATTACTGTGAATTGATTTTCATACATTTCGTAAACATCCAAAAGCTTTTTGACTCTAAAAAACTTAACCAATGTAGTCATTCAATTTTATGGTTATCAACTTCACTAGGATCAGATTGAAAATTAAACGAATACTTCATCATGATCAGCTTGACAATTAAATGAATACAAAAATTACATATATTATATGTATACCCTGAGAAGACAGACACATCTTATTATACACACAAAGAATAATCCTTAAGTAGAGAAATGTGAGATTTCAAGCTGAAAAATTCCATACTTTCACCAACAATAACTGGTTTTCAGCCAAAATGTTCCAGCCCACCAGTAGCCAGAAAACTGATAAAAAACGACATAGAACAAAACAGAGTACTAACTAACAGTTTAACAATCTTAACTCTTCATAGGCATGTTGTTGTCAACATTGTACTCAATGAATCAATCACACAAACTTTGTTTACAGTGTAACCAGGATGAAAATCGACAGTTTATCTCTTTAATTTAACAAGCATTTCTCTGATGCAAGCCCGGCCCAATTCCCCCAGGGGATTCTGGGTAAAAGTAAAGTGAAGTTTCTAATGCGAGACTCAGATCAACCTGCCAAGTGGAATTTACTGACAACAAATCACTTTTTGGCCAAAACCTGTGGGACAATACGAGAGAGCCAGACTGAATCAAAAGCAAGGCAGAGTGAAGAGCAGGCTATGTTCTGTACTATCTGTCCCCCCCCCCCCTGCTCCCATGGCTGCATATAGTATGAAATTTTCCAGTTTTACATGTTGACCCCACAAAGATAAATTAGTTGATAAGATGTGTCTATTTTCTCTTGCTACTAAGCAAGAATTCAGCAAACAAACCAGCTAGGAAGACATCATGTTCAATATTACCAGAAAAAGACAGACTGAAATGGCTCCATCGCAAGATGACTCCAGTGTGAAACTATGAAGCCAAGGCCATGTTTTTGACACCTGGAGAGGCATGCCATGGGACATCTGAAGTTGGACTGCTTTGGGTGTGTTGCATAGTTTGAGCCTTAACAGTAACCAAGCCCATTCAATGGCCGAGGACTGCTGCAGCTTGCTGAGGTCTTACCAGCCAGGTGATGCTGACCAGCCTCAATGAATAAAAATTAAAAATATTTTACCATCAAGTGGAACTCCATTATATTGTTTCATGGCACGTTGTGCATCATCTCGTCGTTGGAAAATCACCTCAGCTGTACCAAGGGATCGACCAGAAGCATCATAATGGACTGTGGCCTTCTTCAGAGCTCCAAACTCACTGAACAGCTCCTATAACATAACCCAGAACAACGCTTTAGAAAATTATTGCTAACTGGTTCAAGATTAGAATTGAAATTCCTAGTCACACTGGTTGTGGCGTGGAATTTATCAGCATTTTGTTTGAAGTTTATAAAATAAAAAAAGAATGTAGACTTCCTAACATCATGGAAAACTTGAAGGCACTTAAGGGCCTTTACAGAGGAGAGAAAAAGAAACAAAACCCTGTGATGAGCTGGTGTTCAAATGCAATAAGAAATCATAGTTAAGATTTCAGGAGAATGTCCATCAAGAAGTTTATTGTCTCATCTGCCTCGGATCAGCCATACGTGTCTTAAATTTTGTCGAGTAGGTTTCACGGCTCTAGATAACTCCGACACCTTTAGTTTAGCGCGGCAACATACTTTAAGTCAGGAGATTTTGGACGGAAATGCGAGCTGTGAAACAAAGTAAGCTTACAGCATACCAACTAGCGACGACCAAACAACTTTTCAACGTTAAAATCTCCCCTCGTCGCACCAGTTTGTCATGGTGTCTTAAAGATTCTGCCATATCGCTACGTTAATCTCATAAATGAAGTGAAAATGCTTAACGCAGTCTCAAGCTTACCTGAATATCTGAATCAGAAACACCAAAATCCAAGTTGGAAATGTGAAGTTTACAGCCTGTTGAGATGCCGCCACCAGCACTACGATTCCGTCCTCCTCTGAAACCACTGTCGCCGTCAAAAAGGTCATGCTGCCATCTGTCTGGTAACTGTTTAGGCTGGAAATAGATGTAAAGTTAGCAAACGCGACATCAAAGTAGATCGTGACAGGAAAAAGGTTCAAAGTGATGCCGTGTTCGACAGAAATTCTTGACACTTACTCTAGAATAAGGAGTCGATCTATTCTTGTTAATTCGTCCTCTGCCGCCTCTAACTGGTCCTCCACCTCCTCTGCCTCGTCTACCACGTCCTCCTCTTCCACCTCTGGTATTTTTCTTGTTCTGTTTGATGATATCGTCCAAAGACATGTCCACTTTCTCGATCTTCGCAGCCATTTTGTTCCGTTGCTGGTGGCCTCGTGCGTGTTCAAGTGACGCGATGAAAAAAATTATGGGATTTGGAACTGTTGCCTCGTTTGCATGTCCTTTTTCAAGCGGCAGCGCTGATAAAATGACGAATTTGTTTGCGGCTTCCGGCTTTTGTAAAAGGGCGCATTAATTATTTTTGTTCGCTTCATTTTTCGTTTGAACTTGTCGGCATGGCTGCAAGTCTTTTTGTTATTTTCTTCTTTCTTTTATTTTTCTTAAAAGGTGACATCAAAGATTCCTTAACAATAACCTGCCCGACGGACCACACACCTTTCGGCCCGTTCTTGTGTCGCACATGCACCCACAGTTGTTCGTCCCGAAACACCCTTGAAAAATCTCCCAAACGAACATATTTTGATGTAGTACATGCAAACTTGCGCGACAACTGCTCGCCCGCAAAATGTGCTTTCTATATAACATGAACGCAAGGTCCCTGCTAAGAGCAAACAACGATTATTGGACAAAAATAGAACACCAGCTACAACTGAATTTCTGATGAACTCAGTGAAGTGAAACTGGCGACCGTGAATTACTCAACATTGCGCTGTTTCGAATGCTACTGTTTGTATTCAGTGTTGGGGAACATGCAAAATGCAAAACATGCAGGGGTCGCGTGTATCTGAGTGCGGCACTCGTAGAGGGAAAACTCTGCCACTGACGCGCGCTTTTCATCCGGCCGAGCTGATCAAAGGACCGATGCCCGCTTTATGAAAAATAACCATTGGTTTACAGATAGATAGGGCATCCAACTTCAGTTAAGTAAATAGTCCAGGCCTCTTGAACTCACGCTAACTGAACTCTTCCTGCTGCGCCCGTGGCAGGGTAGAGTTCTGGAGCTTCCCGGGGTTCCGCCTGGACTCTAAAGCTGCTGGCACTAGTCGCACGGTCGGCTCTAATAAAGTAAAGAAATGGAATCCTTTATTTCAGTGCCGCTAGACCACCACATCATTTAATATCATAGCGACATAGTTTGTACGCCAGTGGTCTCTTTATTTAATTAATGGAAGAAAACAATCCCATCGGTGGAGGAGAAAGAATGAAAAACTGTGGCGTTCATGATATAATAGCGTTGTGTTCAAAAAGTTGAATGAGTTGGATAGATCTCTAAAGCATATTTTTTTTTTTCGTATCAAAACAAGTTTTGCCGCGCAAGCTTTAGGGAGCCACCCGCCTCAGTGCACTTGTTCCAAGGTCTTGCGTTATCTTTCCGTCGTTGCAAAGGATTGTTAAACCCAATCGGTCTGCTTTGTTTCGTATGTTTTAAAACAAAAATACGTTTGTACCCTTGGTCATTGGCAGGAAGCATCTGAAACTGTTCCCAAAACATACCAGTTATCGTAAAAAGTCACAAAGGAATCCTACAGCTGAAGAATGACTTTATTTACACTTTACAAGACTACATTTCCAGTTTATTTGCATGTCACTACTTCGTCAACTATAGCAAGTAAAACCTGACTACGCTGAGAAGGACAGAAGCTTAAGCTACATACACTGACTCAGTATGACGTTAATAAACAGCGCCTTTTGCTAGAAAATCTCCTAAAACGCACATGCGCTAGTGAATACCACTGAGCCTTTAGTAGCTGCGTTTAGTGGCTTTGGTTTCGCTGTGGCCAAGCTTTTGAGTGTTCCTACCAATAAGAACGAACACGCCTTTGCTCCACCCAATAACGAGTCTGTTTACGCGCGTTTTCCCGCGCTTGGCGCCTGTTGCACGTTTCCCCGTGCTTGGCGCCTGTTGCACGTTTTCACGCGCTTGGCGCCGGTTGTAAGTTTACCCTTGGAGTTTTTGGCCGGGATACTGAAAAGCGATAGGAGCTAATCCAGGATCGAACGTCACTCCAAGTTAAAATGTTCTTGGCTAAAAGTGTTTTCCAGTGCTAAGGAGATCAGTCTAATGGCAAAAATGTAAACAAAAATCTTTAAATCTGAAAAGTCATAAAGCTGAAATCAAAATCCTGGATTAGCTCAATTTGCAGCCGTAAATATCTCGTTTCCATCTGCGTTTGCTACAATAGCCCGGAGTGATTTTTTTTAGCTTTTGTTAAGGTAAACGTAACGACGATCACTGGATACCATACTTGAGAGCGTTTGCTCAAGAAAAGGTACACTATACAATCTCTGAACGATCACTATTTACAATTTGTCTGTTGTCCTTCGCAACAATTCAAACTAAGCGCATGAACAAGCTTTTTAATTCTCTGGCCTCAAACGTGACTGTGTTCTTCCCTGGGTGCATTTTTTCTTCCTCTAAGGGCTGTTCGACCACTGCGGCAACATTTTTACCGTAGACTAAAAAATATAAATACACACACAAGTCAACCTTCAAGTGCAAAACGCGCGGCACATGAATATAAAGAATACTCAGTACGAAGCGCGACAAAAAAAAAATAAGAGAGAGACTCAATACCGCGCACTGATAATTTGGAGTCGTCTGATGACAGATTCTATCCAATGAGACATTTACCTTCACAATGCTCTAAAAACTGAATGATGTCCTGGATTACGCTGTCCCGCAACATAATCATATGCTTGGCCTGTACGGGAAAGAGAAATGATTAAAATCCAAACAATTACAGGATATTTGGAAAGAAGTGCACAGTTAAGGAATGTCGCTAGTCTAGTCCGGGCGAACGTACGTTTCTTTTCACACGCTCAATTCTGGTTTCTTATTGGCCGTTACTTCCGCGAAAATCAACCAATCAGAGACGCTATGTTAGGCAATTTCGAAGAACTAAACAAACACAGAAAAGACAGATGAATTGGCAAAATTGGACAAGATTAAAACGGATTGCGTTCCGGTAAACTTGAAAAAATTTGGCACGAGCCTTTTTAAGTTTATCGCGTCATTTATAACGGTATAGGGCCTTTAAGCTCTGATTCAAACGTGTGTTTACAGTACGAAAGAGAAAACTTCGTTTCTCACCATATTCTCTAAGAGCGACAAAAAGCACCTCTTAGCGTAAAACCATGTATCTGTTCCAAGCTGAAATGAAATTATAAAGAAAGATTGCAAACTTGTGACATCACACTTCTTATATACGCAAACATTTTTCTAAAGTAAATGTCAAAAAGTCAAGGTTTCCACTGAGGCAGCATACCTTCTTATTATAAGGTTCCAAGCTTTTCATAATCCTGGAGATTCCAAATTCGTAGTTTCCCTTGGCACAATATAAGGTGCTATAAAAGAAAAAACAGTGTTCATTAGGACAGACAGTTCTTAACATGACTTTCGAACACAACTGATTTTTCCGTGAGTTTCGGTAATTCATTGCTACAATGCGTGCAACCTACTCAATCAAGGCGAAGCTATTGCTTTTTCATCCTTTCACAATGTCGTAGTGATTAGGCTCCAGTATAATAAGCCAATCAACAATCGTTATTAGGCTCATGTCATTTTTTCCCGCGCCTCGCGATTTACGCGCGCCAGCCCTTCCTCTCTCTGTGAGTAACCTACGCTCGTCGCAAGGAATACCATGACAATACTGGCTAACAGAAAGGCAGTCTTGAAGTCTTTGACCTCCGTTAAGGTGGCTGAAAACAGTTTCCAGCAGTTAGATTTTTTCCACCTTAGTGCCGATAGTCACTCTCTTAGACTATGTATCGGTCGCGTAGGCCGTCTACCACCAGCCACTCGGCAAATTAGTAAGACATCATTCAGTTTGCTGAAACTGACAACTAGTTCCCAGTTGTTCGAAATTTGGCAAACGCTTATCAAGGAATAAAAGTTTATAAAAGTTAATAATCAAAGTTTTAATCTCTCTTATATTAACAGGATGTTCCGAGGCGCTCAAAACAGCCAGATAAAACATATCAATAACAACCCTCGCTGAAAAACCGAAAACAAATTTCACGTTAATTTGCTATTGGCATGTTAATCGCGCATTAAACCTCCGGACAAAGAGTTATTCCATTGTTTACCGTTATAGGTAGTTATACGTGAGACATGTAATATATAGAAACTAACCCGATAACAAGGTTAACTATACAAAGATGATAAATCTTCTTATCAGGATCATCATAAGCAACTTGTTCCTGCAAATACACAGACAATTTCATGACAAAATCAAAAACGTTTTCAAAAATCCAATCGAAAAGAAAACTAGTTTGCCCTTACCTCCTCTTTCTCAATTTTTCGCATTAATTCCTCCGCCTAAGATAAAACAAAACAAAGAAGTCTTTTGAGAAAAGGCTTAAGCTTAAGAGCACGACAGAAAGACTTGACCAAGATTATATCCTGAGCTGAGGCACGAGAAGAGTAAGGTGTCTTGTCCAAGACTCAACACAACAGAATGGACAGTGGACTAACCTCTTCGTTGGCACTGGTCATGATGTATGACACACAGAGATTCGCCAACACTATAGCACTGACACTGAGGATCTGGGAAATAAAACAACCGCAGTATTTGAGAAAGGATCAAGGAAAAAGTAAACTATACTTTTTTTCCACAGGATTGGGACTGAACCAATTCATTTATTGTAATGTTCTTTGAATTCACAAATTCCTTGTCTAAATATTGACCCACAAGTGAACTTGATCACTAGCTCGATCAAGTAGAGGACCGTTGCCGCAAAAGTACTGGAAGAGGTTCCTATTCTCATTTACAAATCAAACATAGCAAGATTATTCCAGGGCATTCCGAAAGTTATCACATCAGCATCGGACATAAGAGCACGTCTTCTTGCAAAGCAATTAGGCAGTTTAAGAAACCAAGACGGCGACGCCGAGGACAACGTCGGTTAAAAAATGAACTTTTATTTTACCTACGAATCTCGCGATATCCTAGAGTCATTTAGTTTGTTTCTCACTGCCAAAATTACCTCGAAACTGGATATGGAACACTGTGTTAAATTCGGAATATAAATTTAAAATATTAGCCGTTGTCGTTCACGTTCTCCAGACAACGCAGAATTTAGTCATTTCACGTTGTTGTTTTGCAGAGGACGGCAAAGAAATGTACAAAGATTTATAACACACGTGCACAACCATTGTTTTGCTCATTAAACCTTTTGTTTAGCGACGTTCCCGTTGCCGTTGCCGTCGTGGTTTTCTTTAACGCCCTAATGCCTCTGAAAAACGCCGCCGTTAGTCGGCAACTAACTGAACGGGACCAAGTGCTAGAGGGAACCTTTTTACAAAATTTCCCATCAACGGCACTCTGCGCTGCTTGCAAGAAACACTTACATTGTCGTAATGTTTCTTAACGATCGGTTCGTAAAAACCAACAGCCTCCTTGTATTTATTTTCCTGTGAAAAAAAAGATAACCTTAGTACAAATATGCCTAAGTGCACAAACACCTTAACCTAATGATGAACAGTAAAATTCATCTGACTGACTGTTTCTCATACATTTTCCAGAATTTTCCTTGGTAGAATTTCGTGTTCAGTCAACCCTCTCCCGAGATGATCAGATCCTTTATTTACATATTTACATAAGCGGAAAGTTAAAGAAGAAACAAGGATTGATTATTGCTGAAACGTAAAGATACAAGCCTCGAAACGAGATTTTTTGCCTTTAAACTCAGTCTTTTTCTTAGTCTTTTCACAGACGTTAACTTTTTTTGCCACGGGTTATTTTTCTTCCAGCCCCAACTTCTTCCGTTATCCCACGCGCCGGGTTGATATTTTGCTGAGCTTGCGATCTCGACGAACTCAAGACAAAAAAGAGGATCTGTAGACAGTCTATCGTTTTCCTAGACGAAGGACTGTGTGATTGTTACAGAAGAATGATTTTTAAGGGCTGTGTTTCATGTCGAAACATTTTGATGATTACCAGAGTTTCGACTACTTCTTTTGTAATCTATAAGGCTGCATTAATTTATTCTTACTTGCATAAATAACACGTGAGCAACGTTCAACTTCCAGACCTCGTGTTCATTACAGAACTCAACAGACTTTCTGAATATCTGTAGATAAAACACAATTCCTTTACTCACTAGTACTTACATACAAAGCTATCCGTTCACAGTAACTAATTATGATTTATTAAATATTTTCTACTCGTGTAGCATAATTTTAAAGATCCCAGTACATCGCACCTGACACGCGCCCTGCACGTGACATATTTAAGCCAATACGAGCGCGCAGTGGTTCATAATTATCACTTACCTTTTCTACTTGTGCATAATTGTCAAGATCCCAGTAGATCTTAGCTTGAGACATCAATACCGGGATATACCTACAACAAAATTAAATGAGTTAATCACGCAATAACTCTAGAACTCATCTGAATTGGTAACAAACACGTGCAATTCAGGAGTGAGGAAGTCACAGATTGTGCCGCTAAGAAACCTTAGAAAACTACGAGTGTAAAGCCAGTTCTCTAAGAGGCTACGATTCCATCTAAACAATGTTTGTAGCAGACATGGCAACAGAAATAACACTTTGGGATAAACACTGAATGACGACCAAAGCAGACTTTTGTTGAAACATGAAACGAAAGAAAAAGCAATGTTACACACCGTTCAAGTGCTTCATCATATTCATTGACAGCTTTCTTCACAGTGTCATCATCGTGGTTCTGTCTTGCCTCCTGAACCTACCAACAATATCATAAATGTTATGAATACCGGAATAAAAGGAATTGGCAGTAGTACTTCGAAGCGTGAGCCTCTCGTTTTCAACCTTTCCCATAACGAATTATTGTATTAAAGTTCCATTTCTCCATCTTTAGTCACCCCCCCCCCCTGCCAACCCTTTTTCTAAGGGGTTTCTGTCATGTGCAAATTAATCAAACCGTTACTGCTTAATGTGACCTGATCAAGGTAATCAGTGGCATACTAAATTGATGGCAGATTCCTCAAAATAGCTTTTTCCGGTAACAGGGAAACACTCTATACTTCTAGCTCTGGTTGTTTTACTGTTTTGTATTTTCCAACAAGCCACTAACCTGTTTGGTAAGTTTCCTCAAGGTTTCTGTCTGTTTTGTGGCCATATCATCTAATTTCCGATATGCCTGCAAATGTATCCAACGCATAGGTGTATCAGTCAGTCGACCTTTAGCAAAGTTTCTAGGTTTCAACATTGCATAAATGACTTGGTTTTATGTAGTTACAGTTTCCTATCCTGCTCAGTTGAAGATCACCTTTGATGATAGAAGGGCAAAATAAAGTAATATACAAAAGCTCATGTAAAGCTGCGTTAAAAAACAAAACTGAAAAGCAGATTACTAACAGTAAACAAATCAAACAAAACGGAATCAACTAAAATAGCAGAAACAGTGATACGGGCCAAAGTGACAATTACGTTTTTCAACTTTTTATATATCTGATTGGTCGGGAAAACGTCCTCACTTTGAAATCCACGGATGAAGATGAATTCAACATAATTGCAGTTTTTCGCCAAACTTTATTGGCACGTTGCAGTGCAAGTTAATATCTATTCAGTTTGAATTACATTAAAAACTGACTAATGTTGAAAATGCAACATTAGCAGCTGAATACAAACCTCTTCTGGAGATGTCTGCTGTGTGATCATAGCATCCAAGAAGTCATACATGTACTGTACAGAGACAAAAAAACAAATCCATCAAACAAATCCTAGTGTGCATAAGCCTGAGCAAGAAAATAACTTTCACCAAAGCATTCAATGAACTTCCCAGAATTTTTTGTCAAAAAAGGCAACAGAAATGACCAAGAATGCTTCTTTTGATGTTCTTACATGAAGCCACTTCTAGACTGTTCAAAACCCTTCATTTTCTCACATCATTGAACACGTGGCTAGAATCACAAGAAAACTGGATGTCAGCGTAAAGCGGGAGGCTCGACTGGGTAGGTGGTAGGAGGGGACCACGTTTGGCTCGCTTTACTCGTCTCTCCACCCCCACCCCCACGTGCTTCGCTCGGTCACTTTTTTTTTCTTTCTTTTTCTTTGCTTGAAAAACAGGGAGGCTGTGAACAGTCTAGCCACTTCTTGCTATGGAAACCATAGCTAAGTGACTCCATTGTTTGTCAGCGATTTATTAACCTTGTGAGAAAGTTACAACACTCATAAACAGGCCAACTTACTGGTGTGAGGAATTTATAAGTCAGGTGAGCATTCTCGGCCAACACATCAGCAGCTAGATCAAAATACTTCAACAGAAACAAAAATTAATATCAATATTAGTTAATAACCCCTAATGTGTTAAGATTTTAATTACACAAGGTAATGGAGTGGTTCCTGATTTCAAAAAATACTGTTGTGATATTATCAAGGGCTTTTTAAACACACTGGATGATCAACAGCCTCTTTTACTGAGACCATGGTCTGTCTGCAGGTGTAAATTTACCTTAATTGGTTTACTGTTGCTTCAATCTTACCTGGTACTTAGCATAAAGTAACAAGAGATTCCCAAATGTTTCTGCAAAGGTAAAACAGAATTTCAGCAAATAATCAACAATGATAAATGAAAAATAATTTAGCCTAATGCTATAATGCACAGCTGTCTACTCAAAAAATAGCAGAGGGCTTCTCTAAGATCATTTGTGCAGTACACAGGCTAGATGCAATCAAAGTGTATATCTTAGTCTTAGAGGTTCCAAAGGTTTTCAGTCGTACCTTTTTAAAGTAAACTCTGAAAAGAGTAGAACCAGTATATAAGGTATCAGAGACTCCTAAGGGGTTGCACAGCCCATCACGGGTTGCTGATGCATGAAAATAAATGAGGAACTCTAACCTGGAGGGAATGGATTTTGCTGTAACAGAAACTGCAACTTCTCAAATCCCTGCAATGAACAAAGAAAAGGTTCTTGTTAATCCCATATTACACCAGTTTATGGCTTCAGGATTCTGTATTTTGCATGTTCAGTGTCTATTTTATCCTAGTGTTATTTACATGGTAGGTTTGGTTACACTATTTGAAATGGTTGAAAATATACTGTCACACATAAACTGATTAACCTAAAAAAAACACTTAAAATAAACCTGGTTTCAAGCAGTAAAAATTCGCTCAAAGAATCATTGTCATCTGCAAACTATTCATGTGACCGCCTGTTAATCTCTCTGTGTCTGTCTGTCTGTCTGTCTGGCTGTCTGTTTGTCTGTATATGGGTCTGTCTGTGTATGTGTCTGTATGTGAGTCTCTCTGTCTGTCTGTTTAACCATAAATCATAAGAAACTAAGTCTTAGAATCAGACTGTACCTGTGTTGGATTTGCCTCCATGTTCATTAGGGCTTGGTTATGTAATGTAACTGGGTCAAGTTCCTGTGAAGTTTTGAGGAAAGACAAATTAAAATTATGACTATTTTGGCTAAAATAAAGGCAGAAACTCTGGGCAGGCACCTCATCATAATTTCAAGTTTGTGGCATTGCTAGTATTTCTGTTGTAACTGTTTTAAATTAGGTTTCAATTCTCAAATTGCAACATTTTGGGGGCAATTGCTCCATTGATTCTGCAAATTACCCCAAATTACCAGCCACGCCATCTTGAGAAATCCTGGATCCACCCTTGTATTTACATATCATAAATTTTAGAAACCCAACCCCCTGACTTTCAAAAAAATTTAATATTAGCTTTAATAAAAGTAAACCATCATGAAACAATTTTATAAGCTTTCAAGCAATAAGCAACTCAAAATGCGACATTACACATCATTCCTGTTGGCTTTTAGATGAATGGTTGAATGTGATACACAGTAAGTTAGCAAGAGTATTTCATTTTTTCTCACCTCTTCAGCTCTTGGAGGCATATCAGTAAGAGCCTCCTGGGCAGAATCAACTGAAGTTAAAAAAACAACACCAATAAATCAGTCCCAGGTAGTTTTAGGAAGTTTGGCACAGTTATTCTAAAGGGATACAGTAGTAGCTGATATTTACACATTACAAACTAAGAAAGTTAGTGTTTTGGGAGAATGTTTCAGATAAATGTCTGAATATTCACTTTTTGTAACTTATCCAACTCAGTGGAAACTATATACATTTTCTCACTGCTCAAATTGACAGTCATCTGGTTGTCTGAGATAACAAAAATTGTCATCTTACAATTCTTCAGCTGGTATTCAATCCCTGCTTTAAGGTTGAATGCTTCAATCAGAGCAGTTTCATGTAAGACCTGTAAAAGATAGAAAAATAAAAACCATTTTAGTCTGTGTCTGCTTTGTACATTTAACAGCTCTGCAAAAGCTATGTGCTCACAGAAGGAGAACTGAGCTGAGAAATCTTCGACTTGAAGCCCTGAAATAAAAACCTCTGCAATGCCAAGTCTGTAACTGCAGCCTGTACATTCAAACGAGGTTTAACCCAGGCCAGCAAAGGCTCGCCCAGGAACTTATTCAAATTACTCTGCAGCCTCAGAGACTCACATCTTCCCGGGACAATGCACTGTCATATAACCTAACATTCTTAATATTTCTACAGGTTAGGATCTTGAACACAATCTTATTAGAGGTTAGGCAATTAGGTTGTAAATTTATGACTTTTAGGTCAAGTTTTCTTCTTTTTTTATTCTATGTTTGTAAAGCTTCAATGATTATTTTATGGAAATTGGTAATATGCTAACAGTGTACCTTGGTATTCCCCACGCTTCTGACCTCAATACCTTCTGTTGTCATGCCAACACTTAATTCTAATATTCAAAACAATAACAGAAACAGTGCCATGTGTCAGACTATTAAAATCTGTAAGACATTAGCATATAAACAGCATAGAGATGACACAGTCAAATATGTTGAATACTGATTGAATGAAATAGTTCTCTTTTCTGACAAATGTCCAATTTGCAGACTGACAATTCCGTGACAGTGTCAACACTGTTAACTATATGAACTATTCTTACTATAAATGTCTTTAATTTAACAACTGAGTTACAATTTTTGAACATGCTGTTATGAAACACTGATATATTTATATCTACATGTAGTTTAAGTGGTACAAGATGTATTTCAGTACAGAAAGACTTTGGCAAAGATCACCTTTCAGAAAAATGTACTTAGCTAGGTACATGCAATACAAATGTGTCCAAAAAAATATTATCTCTAACCTGGGTGCTCTCTGATTCCTCTCTCAATTATGTCAGCAATGTGCTTCAGTGCAGGTGCATATTGCTTCAAGCTGTAAAAACACAGTGCTATGTTGTACGACAGATCTGAAAAGAGAAAACTCAACAATATCAGCTAGAACAACTGAACTGAATAAGATGCAGTGTTGATCAAGTCAGGTATCAACTGAGACAATTTAACATGTAACTCATTGTTTTTGTAATTATTGTTTAGTTCATTTCAACACTCAAACAATACCTGGTTGATATCCAAGAATATTCATTGCAGTCTGGAATTTCTGACATGCCTCAGCATATCGACCCTCCTGAAAAAGTTAAAATAACACAGCAAGATGCATTATTAAAATTTAATGTAAAATCACACTGACACATGGTTTAAGACTAGCTTTTTGGCTTGAGTGAAGGTTTGGACAATTCACTACCTTGTAAAGAAGACATCCTAGATTAACTTCTGTATCAGGATCATCGGCAGGACACTGCTCCACCATACTCTATGAGTTACAATACAACAAAAAAAATTACATTTGATATCTGAAAGCTAAACAGGTGAGGACTAGGTGAGGACTAAAGAACAAATCCTCAATCCTCAAAAATAGGCAGAGCTCGATCTTGTGACCACTGGGGTCGCCAATACGACCAAATTTTTTCACTGGCGACTAACTTTTCATGCTTTTCACTGAAATACTTATGCTAGCAAGTAAATCTGAAAACTAGGGGCCAGCTGGCCCAAAGGTTTTTTCCTGAAAGTCGAGCCCTGATATGTCATATCCCTATCTCCTGTAGCTGTACAGTTGACCTGATGGGCCATGAATAGGAGTTTAAGTGGTGTTAAATTTGTTTCCCAGAGCAGCATGTGTCTTAAAATGACATTTCTGAAAACACTGTTTACTTTAGTTAGTATTATTTTTTGTGTACCTTGGCCCCTTGTAAATCCTCTTCTCCATACTTTATAGCAGCTTGGAGTTTCAGGACCTTTACATTACAGAACAAAACAGATATTGCAAAAATTAACAATGTTTTTCCAACTGTACTAATGAGGCTAAATTGGATATGTAAAAAAATTAAATGTTTACAGATGATGGTCACTTGCATCATATCAGAAAAGGGTACATGGACATGTATGTTATAAGAGTTTTAGCATCACAGACAGGCAATTGTTGGGATATACATGTAACAACTACTATGAATCTGGAGTAAGACTTCCAGAATTGGAATTACTACACATTGGCAGTAGGGGGCAGTTGGCCAAAGTGTAGACCTTGTAAACAATTAATTTATTGTGCCTAGTATATTTCAATAAATAAAATTAAAACAATATGCAGTAATAACTTATGTCAAACCTCCTTACCTTTGAATGGTATGTAGGATTTTCAATCTGAAATGTTGCCTTCATCGCTTCTGGATACATGAATGCTTTGTACAAAGACTGCAAAGGAAAACAAATTCTGTAAAATGTCAACAAAAATACTTATCAATAAAATAATAATATTAATTCAAAGAATTTAAAAATTTCAACACTGATAGGAATTTTTTCCTGCCTATCGCAATAGTACAGTGAAGTATTCAACATTATCAATCATTTACCATCAGATTATTCCTTATCATACATCCCATGTACAGTCTACAAGATCATTTTGTTAGACAGTACACACTTGTCATGGAGTAAAAATTTGAGCCATGTTCAACTACATGTATGTATGATTTCACATTTAATTCTATGACTTAATCAGGAAAAGGAAAAGAACTAATGTCAGGTGTTTAGCAATCCAACAAACCTGAGCATAGGCCAACTTGTATTCGTCAACTTCGGGATGTATCTGTGTCAGCTGGCCATAGCTACATGTATAGAAAGACAAATAACACTATCCATTAAAGCTTTCTTGAACAACATAATGTTTTGAATACTTTACGATTTTGTCAGTTGTTTTCTAACTTGTCTATCTATATTAATCATATACAGAACTACCATACCATGGAACCCCCTCATGACAACACTGTTAATACAGCCAACATGTTATTAATTATGGCCAGATTTTTCTGGCCCGTTGGTGACTGCATAGACAGGGTTCCACTGTGTTTCTCAACAATAGTATTCATTCGCACAAAGTATCTTGTACAATCATGCTTTCACCTTAGGACAGTATATTTCTACAGACCTGGTTTGACCATGAGACATCAACAAGAAATCTCAATACAGGGTATGCAACATGACCAGTCTCACAAAGGGAGGAGATTATCATGTGAAAAGGTCAAGGATACTCGTCAGAAAATTTGAATTGCAGAAAACCCCTAAAAAAAAACCATATTATCTGGACATGACTTGAGCCTTATATGATCCCTAAAAGATGCCACTTTGAAATGGAAAAACAGCACTTTTCTTTATTTTTTTCCAGTGCAACTGTAATAGACACCTGGCATTTCATGGTCTTTCATCATGAACACCTTAAGTGAGAGTGAAATCTGTCATTTACATCCCAAAGCAAGACAACAAGCATCCCCAACCTTTCCACATAGGAGTACCCCCTTCGTGAGCTCAAGGCTTGTGACTTACCAGTCAGATGCAGCATCAAAGCTTTGAACCTGAAAGTAGCAGTATCCTAACAGAGACAGTGCTGCTCTGGACTAAAATTAAAATCAGTAAAATCAGATAATAAATCAATTGCACAGCTTGCGAACCAAATAGATAAGAGTTAAGGAATAACCAGTACAAGCTCACAGAAAATGTACCTTAGGATGGTTTTCCAACTCCTGTGACAGGATTTGAATAGCTTCATGGAACTTTTGATTTTTGATCTACAAGATAATTAAAATAAAGGATGACTAGTATGTATTACGAGTTTTCTCCCTCAACACTTCCTCCAACATGGATTGGCACAAATATTGGGACATTCCATTTTATATCCACATACCCCCTTCCAATACTCCCCTCCCCCCTTCCAATGGGGGGGGAACCTCTGGCACAGGGCCTGTCGAAATATTTTCTCAAGGATGCCAACAAAATATTAAACATTTCCTGCGTGCAAAAATTCAAAGGACCAACATCAAAAACTTAAGTGTCAGAATCTGTTCCTCCATAGGACCGGTGCGGATAAAAAAAAAAAATGAAATGTCCCGTTCTTCTACGATCTTCTTTTTCAGAAGGAAACTAAATTAGTAGCCCTATCTTTACACTAATAATACATGCTTGTGCAACCATATTTATTGCACTCGTGATGCAATGCCTAATAAAAAAAAAAAAACTGATTCCTGTATTCTTGAATAACGAAGGTATAACTTAATGCAAATTTATTTTACGAAAGGTTTAAGATTAGCAGGAAGGACTGTTTAATGGTAGAATATTCTGTTTTAATTGTCACGATGTTTACAAAGTTCAGTTTGTTCCCGAGCAACCGCTGTCAATAAATTACAGCGATCATTTTATCACAATAAATTTAACGCAAAAATAACTTACCATTCCATAAATTGTCGTTGTATATTCTCCCTCTTTGACTTGAACCCCCGCCATCACGAAATCCTAACTCTCAAAGAAGAAATTTACTAAAAAATCTAATCCATAAACACAAATCCTGTCGGAGAAAATTTGTAAAGAACCCGGATATAATATCTTTACTAGGTCCCAGTATCCCACGGTGTTATAAAATAACGCCTGGCGATTTGTGTTTCTTTATTCTTTCAATTACATGTAATCTGATTGTCACCAGAATCTCCGTTGTGCCTCATCCCGCTCACACTGGTTCGCAGCTGGAATAAAGTCGATTCAGGTAAAGTTCGAATTTTGGCCTGTTTTCTTTCTTCAATTATCTTTTGCAATCTCCGAGTGGCCCAAAATCAATGTTAGAGTTGTTAACCCCGGTTGCCTTTCGCGCGTACAAATTTCGGATTTCAACCCAAGGGTTTACTAGTAATTGATTCCTACGTGTACGAATCTGCTGCGGGCATAAACGATTTTTGGTTTTAGACAAAGTGCCCAGAGATCTGAAAGAGATCTTTTGTTTATTTTCGCTATAACTTCCCGCTTGTGAGTCTCTAATAACGTTCTTGTTATAATTTTGTGGAAAGATTCCTTAGCTTATCTTTGTTGGTAGCCGGATAGTTTTACATTAATTGACTCGTCCCTGTAAGAGGTTATACCGAAATTGGCTATCCGTGGGTGGGCAAACTGAAATTTGGGATATGCACTGATGAAATCACATCACTGAACTATAACCCTGACCTTAATTTAGATTGTAAAATATGTATATAAGCTCATATAATATACTAGGTTACTGGATTTGTTTTCTTTTTGTACTTTAATTCTTTAAACCTCAAGTTTTGAATTATTTATCACTTGAAAGTGCTTTGTTGTATTACTTTGCTGCAATTCACAGGAGACTTGAGTACAGATTCATGAAAAAAAAAAAAATAGTCCAAAATTAAGGGCAAATAATATTTAGTGAAACTCTTGCTCTATTTTCACTTTCAGTTCACAAATTCATTTTAAATTATGTAAAATACTGTAGACCTTTTCATGGACCCATCATTTTTTTTCATGGACCCACCATTTTTAACAGGTGAACATGTGAGAATCTACTGTAGCTTTTTTCCTGGTTATTCCTGGAATTTTCCTGGTTATTTCCACTTCCAAAACATTTGTGTTCAATTAAGAGCCCCGTGCCTAAACTAGAAATTTTGTACACAATGAAATACAAATATTGGACACATAAATTAGAGTCAAATTTGTTAAATATGTTGTATTAGGCACAATGCAATGACTATTGAAACAAAACCCAATAAACAGTAAGTCTCAACTGTTGTAATATCATTTACAGAGTAAATAAAATTGCATGGTGAGAAAGCAGTTGGTGGGAACAGATTCTTTGCCATTACCCATTACTTGCCCTTATCTGAAATAAATTATATATTGTAAATTAAACACAGCAGTAATTGGTTATAGATATCTTAAAAGTTTATCTGCAAAGCATATTTCTGCAAATTGATTGCAGGCCATATTTTTAGTGAAAATCCATAGAAGAAAACCTGTTTAATTTATATTTATTTATTAACGATATTTGACTATAACTATTAGTTCTTGTTAGCCAATTGAAATAAGCCAAGTTTACAAATGAAATCGACAGTAAACTAGAAGGCTTTATTTATATAGGACTAAATATATCTATAGATAAGCTGCTTCTTGTAATTTAAGTTCATTGGACTTGAGAACTCTTGAGTTAATATAGATCAGACAGTTGAAGACATTCAATCTTTTCAACTTATTTTCAGGTCTGAAAATGGATGTACTATTAAGACTTGCAGCGCTTCTGTTGCTCTGTCTTCCTGTATCTGGCAACATACCAACACCGCCAGATATGTCACAAGGTTTGTACAAAACCCCAGTCATCATGGTTTAATTTTTTAAACCAGTTTTTTTACATGATTTTGTATATAATGGTGGTGAAAGATCCTTTAAATCTGAAGTCTTATAAATATTACAATTGCTTGTTTCATTTTTTAAATTAATTTTTGGCCTTAACCCTTTAAGGCCTAAGAGTGCCAAGCACTCACTTGTAATCACTCTGAAAGCCGAAGAGTGCCAATTGGCACTCCTTTGAAGACCACCTTTGAGCCAATCGCAAATCCTGTTATTGTTGTTCTATGGTTACGTGGCTCTATTAGCCAATCAGATGAAGTGTGAGAATATGTTTTGGCATCCTCACATGGAGTGGATAAAGAAAGGTTCTAAATGAATTATTTAAATTGCAATTTTCTTCCTTTTTTAGGAGTTTACTGTTCATGTTGTGTCAGTTTTGCGAAAGGTAAATACCACTTTATTTTTACTTCAATTTAATCTCCTATTATATGGATTTGGATTTTTGTTTGTGATGATCAAGAAAGTTTATTGATTCGTTTTCTCTACCTGTCTTTTTGTGTTGTGAATTGCCCCAAGCTAACTGCGGCTCTATGCCATTTCTTCAGCAAATTTCAAATGATTACTTTTTTGGCATGTAAAAAACAATATCCCTAGATTGCAAGTCTCCTGTTGTAGTAGACTGCTGGCAGTCTATTTTTTTCTCAAAATAATGCAGGGAGTATGAGGCAAAATGTTTCAAACCTGGTTTTGAACTAGAAGGGATTGGGTTGAGACATGGGCACAGCATTCAATGCAACCTTAAAGTAAAGAGCGACTGCCAGTAGTCTACTTAATACAGCCCTTTATGTCATTTGGTTATTAAAAATTTAAATTATTGACATTCCAGGCTAAGAGAAAAAGATGAGAAATGAAAATCTGTGCACTTCAGCAGCAATCATCAGGGTTTAAAATTTATCTCAAAGAAAAACCACCATGTAAATTTAAAAACAAAGCAAACTGAAATAAATTCACATAATGGGTTATTGATGCTATACTTACATCCATCCCCACCCCCTTGCAACCCCCCCCCCCCCATATAAAAAAATTAAACAAACAAACAAACAAACAATATTTACAGAATGTCATTCATTGTTTAGAAATGGACAAGTTGTTAGCGAAGAAAACATCAGATCTACGAGAGGTACAAGTGGTAGATGCAATGGAAGACATTTGCCAATCAAAATATTTTAAAACATACGATTTATCACCACCAACTACAATTAAAGTTTGCAAATTTTTAATAGGTGAGTTATCAAATAATATGTTATTGCATTTTTCATAAATGTAAATTGACTTGTGCGAAATTATACAACTAATTAAGTATCGTTAGTAATGTAAGTTTTGTTTTCTGTTTTTTTTTTTAAGTGATGTCAAGATAAAATAAATAAATGGTTACCAGAAAATTAAAAGCTGATCTGTTTAGTTTATAAATGTTCTGCTTATCAACACAGATAAATACGAAGAAGAGATAGAACAGTTATTGATCGAGAGGGTAGAGGACACAGAACAGGAAATATGCTACAAACTGTCAAGGGCGTGCGAAGGTGTGGACCGAAGTGTAAAACCAAAAGAACCATTTGAGTACAGCTTCAACAACATGAAGCAGGAAGTCAAAAGAGAGCCTCCCCTACCACAGGAGGATGATGGCATCCAGAGAATGAATGTGGATATTAATGATCCTGGAGCAGCAGAGAGGCTGGCAGAGCAGATTAAATCTCAGCTGGGACAACAGGCGATGGGAGGGGGTGAGGATGGAGATGAGGATGACGATGAAGAAGAAGAGGAGGAGGAAGAGGAAGGTGCCGGAGAGGAAGTTACTGGCGAAGAAGATGACACGCAATCTTTTAAAGAGAAAACTGAACTTTAGTCTAATATAACAAATTATTAGGTTCAGCAAACAAATGCCTTATTTTCATGCTCAACTTGTCATTTGCTCTGTACACACCAGAGATTTCATCCAAAAATTAAGTTTCACACTTTATTAATGATGTAACTCCTCAGAGATCCATGCAAATTTGCATTTCAACGCGCAAGTAAGAACCAATCAGAGACACTGTATGGAGCTCTACACCGCAACCTCATCAGTATGGAATTTTCATGTCGATCTCTAGCAGAGGACGAATTTAGCGCGCACAAATGCGTGAAGGGATAAGTCAGCTGTTTGCTACGAATGTTCAAAATTCTTTGCAATCACTATGCAATGTCAAATACTAAGGTATCTTTGTAACTGTACTTTTTACCGCAGTTACAATTTTACTTCGAATGATAGAGCTTGAATAAATTTTTTCTTTGCAGGTGCCGCAGTTTGTTCTTTTCTCTTGCCCGTAGCTTGTTAAATTTTTCAAGAGTAAAATCAAGGTTTTATTTCTCCTCAGAAAATTAGAAGACCGGTCATGCAAAATAGCGAAATCAGCTGGGTTATATTGTCTTGATCTACGACCCAATTCTCTTAACTTATCTGTCAGTAATGTTTGGCCATCAGTCGGGAGAATTCGAGCGTTGGTAACGTACTTTTTAACATGACCCATCGTTAAAAAAAATTCCACAGCAACGATCTTTGATGCCCCTTTACTGAGGTCTAACCTGCATCATCATCATTATCAGGGCCCAGAGTGCCTGCAAGTACGTACATGGGACTTCCGTAAGGGTTCTGCCTGCAATCTTGGACTTTGGAGCGTGAGGCCACGCTCCATCAGTTCTTTTCTACTACTCTTCGCCAGGTCACCTTAGGTCTGACTTTACTGCGCTTCTCTTGAGGTGCGTCCAACTCAGTGCAACTCGGCCTTACATCGAGCCTGCGGTCAAACTAGCCATCCGGGCTAAAGAAGTAACAGGAGATAATGAGGCCTAGTGGTTAGGGCTCTAGATTCAAAACCTCCTTCCTGCCACTAGATAGATTTGTGTTGTGGTTTCGAATTCAAAACCCCCACTGACTTCTTGTACTGAACTAGCCCCCAACTGCCCAGCCTGCCATCAGCTGGGGCTTGAAAGAAGTTGTCCGTTCTCTTTACACTATTTGTATTTCGATTTATAGAGTTATTAAATTAATACCGTGACCCTTACTACCGAAAGTGATTTAACAGAACTAGCGGCAAACTGAATGTCTGAGGTTCTGTATATTTCAGTGAGTTGAACAAAACCAAAATACAGACTCAAACGTAAACTATCAGTTCCGAATTCTTTCCTCGTTTTATTTATAATATATTTTCCTTCAGGTTAAACGCGCCACCTGTATTCTTTTTCAGCGCGGACTGATATTTTCCGAACAGTAGCGGACGTTTAGGATTTTAATTTTAAAGTATTGTAAAGCGCCATGGACAATTAGTGGAAAATGGCGCTATATAAATGTATATTTATTTATTTATTTATTTAGTTTATAAGACGCAAAGCGAGCTACGTGACCTGAACTTTCTTCCCTTATCAGTAGAGCGGATTTTCTCACGCAAACTTTTCACTATTTTGTCTGAGGTGAATAAAAGACTCATTCGTCACATTCAACTCTTTCACTGAGTTTGTATCCTGACACACGCGTTTTAATTAATAATATCTATGTTTAGATCAACGATTCTCTCTTTCCCTCGTATGGCTTCCGGCTTACCAGAGGCAGTTGCCAGTCAGAGCCAATCAGACCCTTCACTCGCACTTTTATAAATCAAAGTCCAATTTCTCTGCCAAACTTTTTCTTTCAATAGCCAGCTAATCTGCCTAGCCATTGTCTGTCATCCTATGTTACCCTCGTTTGATTTGAGGAATTTTTCGATGAATGCTTCGCAGAATCTGTCCAAGTCTTTCTGCAATATTTGTGGAGTGTAAACATGGAGAACTGAGCCACGTTATAGAAGAACATTCGTCCTTTGTTCAATTGCAGAACAAGTATCTTAGAATCTGTCTTTTCAAATATTACCATTTGTTGATATTGTCATCACAAAGAGTTATGCAAAAAAACGGGGCAATAATCCACTTATTGCACGACTAAAACGGCTAAGAGGGCCAATCGCTTAAACCAACCAATCAGAACGTCCCATTGCCGGTCCAATATCTTCTTGTAAGTCTACCGAGTAAGGTTTTTACATCTCTAATAAGTCTTCAAGTTATGGAAGGTACAAATCCCAAAGTTTGCTTAGGACAGTACCCGGAGAAAATCGGGACTCGAACAGTCTTTTAAAATCGGGCTTGGCTGAGCGGATCCGTTCTATCAAGCCCTAGGGCCGATATTCTAGGTGTACAGCCCGGCTCGATAAATAAGATTTATAAAGCGCACGCGGGCAACCATTTTCGAGGTGGTTTTTCACTACAACTGGCCCAAACGAAAGAACAGTCATTCCTATTTCTATCAATGTCGGTTTTGTTTTGCATTTTGTTTTGTTTTGTTTTTTTCTTTTTTCTATCTCAAAGCAGAGGACAAATTTAAGACCTATAGCGGAATAATACTTTCGCCTTGGTCAGGTTGCTCACACGGTAAATTTGAATTAAGCCTACACAATGTTAACTTATACTACTATAGTGTTTATTTTGTTAGTCTTGATATGAATTCATACCGCATGTATTGCTCGTTATTCCATGATAAAACAGATAACTCTGATTAAATTATTTGGAAATAAACCGATTTACAAATCAAAACATCTGAGTGCGTATTTTAATCAAAAAACAGCAAATTGAGTTCAGTGAAATCGTCTACCACTTCGCAAACCAATTCCTTTAATGCAATTTTATCTTTAAAATTTCCTTTATTTTATATAACCTAATTTTCGGTTTAAAGTATTCTGCAATGAGGCAAAAACGATAAGGCGCTAATGGTTTCCTATCTGAACACAGATGATCGGCGATGGATCAACGTCGCACATAAATTTGCAATCGATTGCCAAACTCTCTGCGGGATGTTTACAATTCATAACACATGATCATGATGGTTCAAGGAAAGTTCGAAACCATAAATTCAATGAATTAGAATAAATAAAAACTAACGCAGGGAAACAGGCCTCTGTACATGTACGTGTTAACGATGCAAAAACACCAAAAACTACTCTTTTAAAACAGATCGGAACACCAGATTCCTTTTTAAGATCCATGCACAACTGATCTGAGGGATTCATGTACATAACCATTGTCAGTTAATGTTGTCCTCTCGGGCTAAATTTAACAGCTTCTCAATAACAACAGATTGTCTGAAATTTTCCATTTTTATGAGTAAAACCCTTCATTTCTTCCTTTTAGGTGACTTGTCCCGGTTAGTCAAAGTATAGTACATTTCTGCTTCTCTGCAAAGGGATTTTCTCGTCTTTCGGGAGGGTGAATAAGAGGATCTTTTGTGCCATTTTGTGTGCAATACTCCTTCAGCCTGAATGGGATAATCAAAGAAAAAAAATTCAGTCACTCATAATATCACTGATACCTGGCAAGCGGTAAAGTTCACCCGGAGTAAACCAAACGACGCCGTCGGTCTCTTTTCAGGGTGCGCATTTTATACGGGCGAATGAATTTCAGGCGCGGTAAAATTACAGATTATATATAGATCAATTCACTAGTTTTGTAACGTATTGATCCAAAAAGTTTACGCCTTCAGCTCAAAAGATTTTAACATCTTGCAGTCTTAGTTTATACGAGGAAAACTCACAGTTCCGTCCACACAAAGTTTTAAGCGGAAACAACGTTTGTCGTGTAAACGGCTTTGTTTATGGTTGAAATACAGTTTGTGGGATTTCCAGGTAAAACTTATAATATGGAACTGTGTTTGTCTTACCGTATAGAGAGATCAGCTAGGGAACTGCTCTTAAATTCAACTGATTCCTAAACCAACAGAGGTTGGATTAAATCTCCGAGCTACTGTGATTTCGATTGAGCCAGTTTTTCGATAGAAAAGATTGGAGCTCTCGTTTGGCTGTGTTGAAGCCATTTGAAAACCCACCTAAAAATCGCTTATTCCTATGAAAACACAACACTTAGCAAACATAGTAAGTCGCTTAAAATTCAAATTTCGTGGTCGATGTAGTAAATAGCGAAAAAAAATGACCTTTTGGACGCGCTTCTGATTCGAAGAGACTCCCGGTTTGCCGTGAACAGTGTAGTCGCTCCATGCTACAAAACCTACAAGTTTACATATTTAAATGACAAGATCGGCCGCCGCCAACTTACTCGTTGCTACATATAGAGACGGGAAGCCGTGAAATTCGCAGCTGATCTCTCAAACTTTCAACCGTTTTCAACATCTGCGTTCTATCCATATTGCCACTGGAAAGTTGATTTAAAATGTTCTGAAGCTGTTCCTTTCGTTTCAAGCTTCCGAATTACAAACAAGGTCGCTCTCTGTTATTCCTTTATTGGCGAGAATGATCATGCAAAGGTTTTTTTTAGTTTCGAGTAAATTCATTGGACGGCGGGAACAAAGTAAACGAAAGTGAGCAATTAACATGAAAAATAGACCAATCGTGAAGCGGAACGAGCACAGCCGAATGTTAATATCAAACTACAGGTGTAAAGATTTTTTGCTGCAGTTAACGCGGCCGAAAAGCCCTTCAAAATATATTGCTTTCTCCTCGGAGTTGTTTTGCACCAAAATCGATTGGACAAAAATAAAATTTTTACCTCCTCATTTTTGCTGGTAAACATTTAACGAGAAATATTTCTTGAAGCTACTGTTTAAAGTTCATATTTAATCAGTGTGTTTGCCTCCTTCTTTGGAAGGTTTTGAGAATCTCGCTTCTCGAGCGTTTCCGGTTTATTGGTTTTGGTGTCAAAATGATAATACTCTTCCTTAAAGATATATAAATATATGTAAATTCATCATTGTATTTCCGTGCTGATGTAGCGAAAGCAGGTCGTTTAGCATGCCGTACACAGTTTTCAAAACTATTTTGTTTCCTTTTAACTACGTTAGCGTTGTATAGCATAATTGTTTCGGCTTTTCGAATGTAGCTAAATATCGCATTTTTTTTAATGCAATCAACGCCAAGGGCAAAACGAAAAAAAAAAGACAGCGATAAATTCGGTTACAGCCCATACACCAACGCAATTTAATAAATTTAAGAGCTCGTGTTTTTAGCTTCACTTCCCAGTTCTCAGATATGCGTCTTGAGTAGTACGATTTGTTTTTCACCGTCTTGAGAAAAGCGAGAGCTACTCAATTTATAATTGATGGTTTTCTGGTCTTACTGGTGATTTGGGTTTCTTGTTCTCGGCGGTTAGTTAAGATTGCTTAATATTTAAGCCATTAACGGTTGTCAAAACATCGCTGACGTAAAATATGACAAGTATGTATGAACTGCGGCTGCCAGGTTGTTAGTCAAAAAAAGCAAGAAGTCCTTCTTCGCCACAAATACTTCCTAGAGTCGATTTTCTCAAACAGTAAAATTACTCTTGAATCAAGAGATGATTGGATGTACAGTTATCTTCCTGGAAAAGAGATAAACGAAACTGTGGCGACAGCTTAACGCTTTCGATCGCCATTTAATTAGATTCGATTATTTTATGTCACCAGCTCAGTGGAAAAGCTGTTGATGAATCTGCGGGTCTCTGTTTAATGGCCCTACTGTAATGTAAAATTCATCTCTCCACGTTCCTCGATCAAGATTTCTGACCGAAAACTATTCCCTGAAAGCAAAAGGGAAATCATGATTATTTGAGAGTAAACTTAATTTGTACATGTTGCCACTAGCTCTGGTCTTGTAGCAGGTGCATTGGTCTACTCGTTACTTGTTGATTTTTTTTTTTTCGTTACATGTTTATGATAATCCGGGTATAAAGCTATCACGATGGAAGAAGCACGGAAATTCAGTGCAATGCACAGCTTTCGACAAACAAATCAAACCTGCAGCTATGTTAAAACAAACTTGAATTTGCTGATTTGATCAGCAAATAATTTTATTCAAAACATAATCACTGTAATTTAGGGTAAGAAACGAGATTGTAACTTATGAATAATTAATTATATTTTTGTTCTTTGTCAATCATTTCCGATTCGAATCGAAATCACTATAAGCTTGCCCACATTCAGGTCTTTAAGACTAAAATTAAGAAGGAAGACTCAATAACTGAAAAAAATATATCTATCACATCTGCTTCCTACGGCTGCCTTTAATGAGAAGCTAAACAATTAAATTTTCACAAGGCTAGGGGCAAGAAAGTAAAAAATTAAACGCTATGTCAACAATTAAATAGAATCTAAGATACATTATTTAATTTGGTTATTCCACAACGTATTTTTCCCGTATACTAGTATTTACAAAGAGAAGATTTGTAACCTAATTCAAGTTCAAGGAGTGGTTTTTAGCCGGGTACTCTAAAACAAACCATAGTAGTCCAATGGCCAATCACAGCAACGTAAAAATGGTGAGCCAATCAGTAGTCAAAGTAACGTCACGTGACCAGCGCTAAGCGGGAAATGCCTGCGTAAACAGACCATATTCGGAATGGAACTAGCTTGCGACTGAGGCTAATGCGGGGGAAGTCTTTTCAAATGTAAACAATGATGACATTTTAAAATCTCTTTTTAATGATATTCCCCAGCAAGTACCGAGAACGAGGTTTCGTCTTTGCATATGGATCAATCCGGCGTAAATGTTAACACAGTCGGAGTGACATCCTCTGTTATACCGTAAATCCTCGAATAAGCGCCCCCTCTCGAATAAGCGCCCCCCTCTTGAATAAGCGCCCCATTCGAATAAGCGCCCCTCCAATCGGCCAAAATTTAAAATNCTCCCCTTCCCCCATTTTGTGGACGAGTACTGAGCCAACAAAGGATGTATAGTTTTCGTCGTGTAGTATTAGATGTTTCAGTTTGTGAACACGTTAAGGACCGTTAAGTGAACACGTTAAATACTAACGGTGCCGCGATTTAAACTTTAGGATCAGCTTTTCATGTCGATAAACAGCTTATGTTGTTGTTTACGCGCAGGTGATGTACTAAGAAAAGATCACGTCAGGGCACGACTTGGGAAAAATTAACTAAGTGCCCCCCCCCCCCTTTATTAAGTGCCCCCTTCGAATAAGTGCCCGCCATCTTCTCCTAAATTTGAAATAAGCGCCCCGGCGCTAATTCGAGGATTTATGGTAAATGACAATAAATTTGCCAATTGATACTTTTAATGCTAACAGGGAATTATAACCGTTTGTAAACAAGAGAGTTGAAAATTAAGGTCAAGATATTTCTTCCTCTCCTTCTCTTACATACGCTTTCCCCCTTGTCCGTATCAATGTTGAGCTCTCAAACGTGCACATGCTATATAAAGAATTTTCATCCTCGAAGGGTCAAACATTGGTGGAGCTATTTGTCCGCCCTTCCCCACGCTATATATAGGGATTGAATTCAGGCGAGAGAAAAGAGAGTCCAGAAACCAATCAGAGTGTGGTGTAAACGAGCTTGTTCAAATGACGAACTAAGTACCACTAAATGACAAAAACATTGTCGCCAATTGCGTTCAAATGGATTTTAATGAGCATGTAATGATGTTCGTCCATCGCAGGTGATGAGGTCCACTGACCACCCTAAGAAAATTAGGTCGGGCTTGGATGTGTCCTGCTTGGATGTGTCCGGAGATGGCTGGAGAGTCCAATCCAGGCACGAAAGTGCCTCCCACACACAATCACAGGCCAGATTTGGGGTTGGCTGTCAGTGAAGGTGCTTGCCGCTCGTTTTTTGCGCTGGCGTCGCTTTCTTTCGGCTTCTGCTGCCCGTTTCACCTCAGCCCTCTTGGTGCCTTTGTTGATCAGGCCACGCCAGGTGGAGCGATTCAGCGTTGCTAATTTCCAGGACATGTGGTTATTTTTAAACGTATTCAGGAAGATTTAAGAGTGTCTTTAAAACGTTTGGGTTGATCACCACTGTACGAGAGTGCTTGTCCGAGGACAGCTCGACCGAACAACAGTTGCTTTGGGATGAGTTCATCTGGTAAACCGACGATGTGGACAGCCTATCTGATTTGATGCTTCATCAGGACTACGTAGATAGTGGGCTGGTTTGCTTTGGTCATGACTTTAGTGTCAGAGGTCTCGTCTTGCCACATGAGCATGAACTAAGATCAGCATCAGCTAATGAGCATATGCGCTAAGATCAGAAAATCCAGAGTGGTCCAGGACACTGCAAAAGATTTAACCCTAACGACACACGACTGACCGAAAAGAAATAAATCTACGGTAAAATCATCTATAGATAGGATAGTTCGCGCGTAAAATATTTGCCATTCCACAGAGTGATTTGAACTTTGGCGAGCAAGTAAGTATAATTGACTGTTTTTCTCCATGCATTACATTTTGTACCCAATCCGCAGATAGAGGCTAACTATTATTGTTTTGGGCGTAAAGACTGTTTTTTTTACCAGCGTATGAGCATATGAAGCATACGCCGACTTACGAAAACGCAATAAAATGTTAATAGGTAGCATCTTTTGTTGGGAAAATTTCCTAACAACAGCTCCTTGTTGTGTCTGGATATGTTACTTGTGGTTATGCTTGCGTGCTAGCCGCTCAGCTAGTGAACAGCAGCCTTTTGATTTTAGCAGATAAACAATTAGGTTAAGCTTTTTGAAGGCTGTTCTGGTGTTCCTACTTGTGATTATGATTAATAGATGGCTACCAGGCACACGCGCATCAAAAAGTTCTGTTATATACGGTTTTACCCTTTTTAAAGGGTAAAACCGTATATAACAGAACTTTTAAAAAACATTGTCATTTCTCAGTCTGAACTAGAATTTATCTAAATACATAAGCTGTATGCCAATAAAGACACGAATGACCATCGCAATCATATACAAAGCCTGAAACAATTCAGCTTGAATGAGATTCGAACTCATTACCTCTGCGATACCGGTACAGTGCTCTGCCAACTGAGCTATCAAGCCAACTGGGAGCTGGTCACTTTGTGAGTTCGTAATGTACCTGTAGATGGGAGAGAATGCAAGTGAATATGA